GAAGAAAATGTAAGGATTTAGAAGACAAAACATTTAAGGAGAGCGGAGTTAAATTGGAATAGTTAGAACTGGTGTGTTATTCACAAGGAAGTTATACCGTGAAAGGCTAGAATAAGTTGTCCAGGATATATAACAACTATTTTGCCAAACAGTGCACAGTAGTAGTTTGTGGAGGTGCAGTGTGGGAAGGTTAAAACAAGAAAATCAACCATCTTGTGTCATGTATATGCCAAATGAAAAATACAGCTATAGCAAAAGTGGTCCTGTTTTGGGACATTCTCAACTCATAGTTTTCAGGAAGTCCCCTTTTTGAACAATACCACAGGGTTTCTAGTCAGTGTGTTGGGTTTTGTGTTTTTTCTCTGTAAATTTTGTGTTAAAGTGAAAAAGGTCGTTTTAGGCAAGTATAGAGAAGTAAATAAATATTTTCCATGTCTTCTGTAAATAAATTTTTTTTAAAAAGTTTTTTTTTAAAGTAAAAAAAATAGTATTTACTATTAGCTATAACAGATACAGAACACTAATGTAAACAAAACTTGAATATTTCTATCATTACCTAAAAATCTGGAAAAACATCAAGTTGATTCCTCTCTGAGAGGTCAATATTTTCCCAGACAATCTGTTTTCTTTCAGCTATAGTAAGTAGAAATTAGCTCAAATAAAAATGTTAGTACAGATAAGATTTTTCTGATGACTGGACCCCTTCAGTCACCTGTCTGAAGTGAATGGTTCTAGGAGGGAGGAGAACAAATCAAATGCTTTCAGTGTGTTAGGACTGTTGTATTCATATGATTTTTGAGTGCTGCTTGGCAAGAGTTCTTTTGAAGATGCAGCATATTTGTTGGTTAGTTGTCTCTTATGTGTGTGAAGGTATAAAATTGGTGAGTAAATTACTGTAGGGCTGTATGTTCGACCTTAGAAAGATAGTATCAGATGTGAAGAAAAATTTAGAATGGTTTCTTCAAGAGGTATGCCTAAGTAGGTGAGTTCTGCTTAGTTTGGAGAAGAAACACTGCAACAGGGAATTATTTTATATATCGCTCATTAATATGAAATAGGATAAATAAAAATCATTTGTGCATTGTTTAGCAATACAATATCTAGAGGCTTCAAATGAAGCTAATAGAAACTAGGCTGAAAACAAAAAAAAAATTGTAGTATTTTTGTTGTTTTCTGCAGAAGATAGTTGAGGCAACCCATTGCCAAAAGATCTTTTGAGTGATAAATCTTACCTGGTTCTGGGGGCAAACAGCAAAGCTCATGGAAGAGAGATCACTCACTAGAAACTGTGACCCACTGAACCTCCAATTAGTTGGAGAGTGAGAACACTAAGGGGGACGGATGTAATGCTGAGTTTTCTGTTTTATGTTCTACAGACACTGTTAGGGAGAGAATAGCAAGTTAGATGTGCAGTACAACTGTTCAAGATATGTAAAAGCCAGTTTATATGCTATATGAATTGCTTGAGACTCTCAATGGTTGTTTCATTCTTTAAAGAAGTGAATGTCTTAAAAATTTTTTTAAAACCCTGCTAAAACAAAATTCTAGGACTCAATAGATTTTTTTCTAGTCCTTTGAAACAAGCAAGATCAAAATTGTAAATGGGAATTTGAGAGAGTTTGAGAGTAACAGATTTTTGCCTTTTTTAAATTTTATTCCTTTTGGGGTTTTATTCTGTATTTTACTCTGCTATATTGTAGAAAGTCTGCTTCCTGCTAAATGCAATGTTTAAAATTCCCTAAGATGGTAAAGGATAAGCTACAAATATGGACTATCAGGCAAGCCCTGGAGATTTAGTTAATCTGACCTAGATGTTCTTTTGATGATTGAGACCTGCAGCATGTGAAAACACTTCTCAATTTCAAAATGAAACACGAGGATATCTGTTGTATAACTCAGCTGTCCTTGTAGTGACAGACACATCAATCATTTCTGAACAAGAAAGGATTTACTATAAAAAGTTTGTAGCTTTGGAGCTGTTGAGTTCATTGGCATTTGGATCAGCAATGATATTGGAAGTTGTAAGTGAATTCAGCATTTGAATTTTACCATGTTGTAAAGAGGATTAGCTACAAATGCAGGCAACATACTTTCTTCTTTTTCATTTTCAAGAGCCTGTTGTGTAAGATGTTAATTCTTGACTTAGTTTTCAGTATATTTTATGTGAAACTGCTTGGTAGCTCTTAAAAAAGTATTGAACGCTACCTGTAAATATAAATAACTGTGGAAAAAACAACTAATTAGGAAAAAAATCAAGTACCTGGAAAGCAAAACTGTGCTTATGTATAGAACTTTTGAATACTTGAGAAGCCACTGTTTTTCTGTATTCTCTTGGATTGAAACTATTTTTATAGTACAGTTAAATACACAGAGAACATACTCCATGTTGAAGAACTGTGGGGTTTTTAAAAACCTTACAATGATTGCACAAAATTGTTTGGGTGATTGGTACAATTATATGGCCTAACATCTACTCTGCAGAATGCTGCTTCCTATATATTTAACAAATTTTAAGTTTTGGTGCAAGTTTTGCATGGTTTTCTGGTATATGCCAAACTATTTTAGAAAGATGTAATAATTCTCCGCTTGGAGAATATAGAAAAAAGGAATTATCTCTGTTCAAAAAACAGACAGTAAATTGACTTTTTCAATGGTAATTGTTCCCACGGTTTTGGAAATAATACTTAATATTTCTCACAGCTTTTTGTTCAGACTGCCTCTTTTATGCGAAGTTGTTCAGATTTTGGAACTTGCACTTCACATTTAAACAGTAGAGATCGCTTATAATATTAACAGCTGAAGGCCTTCAGGAGTCAAAACACATACGTGTCTGTAGGGATGAACAGACATTTCCTTGGAATTACTTTGAGCTTTATTACTGTGAATCTGGACACCTGAAATGAAAGAGGCCTCTCTGTAAATTATCATTGTGCTAAAACAAGAGAGTATAAAGAAAGTAAACGAAGTACTCTGTGGGAAGGTAGGATAAGAGCTGAAAATGATGCATGCTTTACACACATGGTTTTTTTAATCATTGTTTTAGATATGTTGGACATAAGTACTGGCATGCTTGTAACATGTTTCTTTAAGAATTTTGAATTTTCCTGTTTTTTTTAGAATTTATTTAAGTAGAGGAACCAAGTTTTGATTATAGCCTGTGGTGCTCAGAAGGAACAATATGGTAGTCTAGATGGCATGAGTTTCCAAGGACTGAAACCTTTTCAGGAATGTGTATCCAGTAGCTGTAGTCAGCTTGATCCAACAAAGGAGTGAAGAAGCAAAGGCTCATTCAAACCTGAAAAATTTAACAACCAAAAGCACTATGGTGTATTGACAATTATGCATCAGTTCCTCCATGTACACACACTTAAGAAAAATCCTTTGCTCTGTTCTGGGGTAGGACTTTCCTTCAGTTAGTATACCTGCCATCTTCATTGGCAGCATGTTAGAACTGCAACAATTACTGCTCTGTAAATTCCTGTTTTTCTTACAGAGCAGTAGCAAGAGAAGTCAATAACTAAAACTTAATACTGGTTTTAGGTATTAATAGTTGTAAGAAAATAGTTAATGTTAGCAGAGAAGGGGTACCAAATGGTGGTGAAGTGGTTGAGAAGGTGTGGTTTTCTAGTTGCTAAGATGTTGCAGCTGTGTTGAATATGAACATTTCATTGTGAAGACAGTTTGGAAACTTTTGCTGTAATTCTTTACCATGAGTAATACAAAGGATTACTGTGGGTAATAGCAATAGTACTCTATTACTGTGGTGATAGAAATTATTTAGCATTTCAGTGCATCTGAATTGTATTGTAAATCAACTCTCTTGGCAGTGTTCAACAAAAATGGAAAATGTCTTGAATAATATGACTGCATTTTTTAAGGCTCTATAAATGCAACCTAACTTGATTATTTGTGAGCTTGTAGACTCTTTCACAGAATCACAGAATCATCTAGGTTGGAAAAGACCTTGAAGATCATCTAGTCCAGCCATTAACCTAACACTGACAGTTCCCAACTACACCAGATCCTTAGCGCTATGTCAGCCCAACTCTTAAACACCTCCAGGGATGGGGACTCCACCACCTCCCTGGACAGCCCATTCCAATGCCCAACAACCTGTTCTGTAAAGAAATGCTTCCTAATATCCAGTCTAAGCCTTCCCTGGCTCAACTTGTGGCCATTCCCTTCTGTCCTGTCGCTTATTACTTGGTTAAAGAGACTCATCCCCAGCTCTCTGCAACCTCCTTTCAGGTAGCTGTAGAGGGCGATGAGGTCTCCCCTCAGCCTCCTCTTCTCCAGACTAAACACCCCCCGTTCCCTCAGCCGCTCCCCGTACGACCTGTGCTCCAGACCCTGCACCAGCTCCGTTGCCCTTCTCTGGACACGCTCGAGTCATTCAATATCCTTTTTGTAGTGAGGGGCCCAAAACTGAACACAGGAATCGAGGGGCGGCCTCACCAGTGTCAAGTACAGGGGTGAGATCCCTTCCCTGTCCCTGCTGGCCACGCTATTGCTGACACAAGCCAGGATGCCATTGTCCTTCTTGGCCTCCTGGGCACACTGCTGGCTCCTGTTCAGCCGGCTGTCAATCAACACCCCCAGGTCCCTCTCTGACTGGCAGCTCTCCAGCCACTCCTCCCCAAGCCTGTAGGGCTGCTGGGGGTTGTTGTGGCCCAAGTGCAGCCCCCGGCATTTGGCCTTATTGAAACTCCTCCAGTTGGGCTCAGCCCATGGCTCCAGCCTGTCCAGGTCTCTCTGCAGAGCCTCCCTACCCTCGAGCAGATCAACTCTCCCACCCAACTTGTTGTCATCTGCAAACTTACTGAGGGTGCACTTTATCTCCTCGTCTAGGTCATCAATGAAGATGTTAATCAGGGATATATATATATATTCAAAAAACAAACAAACCCCATGAACTCTTATTATGAGTACATATATTATGTTTGCTTTTCCTTAGAAAGCTCTATGTGAAGTAATGATTTTCTTATGGAAATATTTTACAGACTCCCGGCTTAAGAGCACACACTGGACGATTGCACTGGTTTGCAAAGAGGTGTATATCAAGCAATCAGGTATGTGGTTTGTATGATGTCTTCTATGTAACTGTAATTATATTTCAAGAAATATTGGTTTGAAATATTTCATTGCTTGATTTTTGTTTGTGAAAGGACATGTGGCAGGCTGATGAGGTGAACTTCATGCTCTGTGTAAATGGTGGTGTGTACTTAAACAAATACTTAAGCTGAATCCACACAATATATAAGGCACATATATAGAAAAATAATTGGCTGAAGTACAACTATGTTCTTCCTTCTTTATTTTTAAAGATGGAGACTTTGGAACACTTGGTAGAATTAACTCAAAATCTATTTGAATGTGATAGAGATGAGATGTATTACTTCCTGCTTCAACTGTGTGGTAAGTGAGCTTGTTATCTTTTTCATGCTGTAATCTGTTTTCTTATATGATTGGAGGTAAGAAATAACCCTGGATTGGAGAGGAGCTTTATCCTGGTATGCAATTAGCCTGGATACTATTTCTGAGGCATCTTGCCAGGGGGAGAGTACAGGTTTTCTTTCACCTCCAGACACTTACATAGCACTTATATAGTATAAGTCTTCTGATCCATGCTATTGTCTTGTGTCCTAACTTGAAAGTTTACTCTGTTTTGGTTTTTAATATGCTTAAAGAAGAAAAAGTGCTCATTTGCTATACCTTCATAACTGTTAAAGATATGGAGTCTCCTGTAATTGGATCTGGTTCTGAAAGGTGCTTTTTCTAAAAAATCTACCAATTCTTTACCAGCCACAACCTAACTTTTGCATCATTTATAGGAAAGGAACAGTTTTAAAATTGAAAGTTCATTTCTATGCTACAGACTTAGTGTAGGATTTATCTGTAGTGTTTTTCATTTCCTCTTTTCTGTATTTTTTAGTCTGTGCTGGTTTTGTTACTCAGTGCATCATACTGTATTACACATAATACAATTTTTGGAAGTGTTAGTTCTCATCTTAAAAGTCTTGAAAAAACATTTGTTTTAAGATTGGATATGGAGCACTAAGTGGTCAACTGGGACATAAAAAAAAAAGCATTACAGGCATTGCTATGTACTTTGGTAATGTTTATATATATTAATGAGCCATTACAGTGACTTGATATCGTTGGTCATGGGAAAACTTGCATCTGAGCTTGAAGTAATTTTATGCTGTTCCCCATGTATATATTTGGTTGACTAGAACCTTCTTTTTTCATATGGAAATGAAAGAGGCTTCTTCCCCACTGCACTTATCACAAGCAGAAGACATGAGTACTTCCACAAAAAAAATGACCAGAGAACTTTGCTTTTCATTTCCTGAACAGCCTTAGAAAGCTTCAAAACCAAACTGTACTGTTACCCAATTCTGTCTTTGCACATACTGGTTCACTATCAAGAATCAAGTAGGCCTGAAAAGCAATCTTGTCTCAACAGGGAGGAAGCCTTCTTATTTCTTCACACATCCCATTCACCTCTGGCAGTGACTGACAGTGTGCCTGCTAGGAAGAGAATCAAAGAAGATAAAATTTATCAAATCCTGTCATGCAAAATCTTCAGTCTTCTTGCAGAAGACAAAACCAATTCCATCTATTCAAGGAAGTGGAAAACATTTGTAGGTTTCTGTCACCATAAAAGACAAAACCCACACACATTCCTGCTTTCAACCATTATAGATTACCTATCAAGGCTGCCCCATGCACAAGTACACTAGAGAGTTGTCATTGTGCACCTAAGCCATCACTTCAGATCTATTTTAAGCATATAAAAAAAGATTCTACCATCTAGATCAGAAATGTAGAAAACAATGCATTTGGTTTTTCAGAATCACAGAGTAATTTATGCTGGAAAGAACCTCAGGAGTTTAGGCCTAGCCTTTTCCCAGAGCTAGCACACCTTCAAAGTTAGATCACATCATTGCCTTGTCTAGCAAAGTTTTGAGTGCCTCCAAGGGTGGAAATCAAACAGCCTCACTGGGCAACCCATTCAGATCAACCATCATCAGATACTACATTGCTTCAACTTTTAACCATCACCTTTCATCCTTTGCTGCACACTTCCAAGAAGACACTGACTAGCTTGTCTCTAACTGTCAGGTAATTGAAGACGGCGATTAGACCCCCTGTTTTCTGCTTTTCTCCAGACTGTCCAAAACTTAACTTTCTACAATGACTTCTTTTACTTCCATCTGCTCCAGCCCCGTGTCTGTCTTGATGGCTGAATTTTCTCCAATTGCTAACATCTCTTTTATAGTTGTGGAGCCCAAAACTGGACACAGTCCTCTAGTTGTGGCCTCATGAGTGTCAAATGGGGGCAAATACATGTAAAATTGTTAAGACATTCTCTTTCCTATTCTGTGAACTTCCCTAATAATCTGCTTCAAAATATTTTCTGCAGTATTTAGTCCTCAAAACCAATAATTTTATTTGACTTAGGGTACTCACCAAGTTTGCTGCCTCTTCTAAAAAGCTGAAGTGATGCCAGAACCTTGTTGAAAGTGGGCTTGGATCTTGAATCAGCCCAGTTACATATCCATGTGTTTTTCTAAATCCATGCTTCTGGAAAGAAGAGAGCATTGCAATGTAACATTTCAGTATTGCATTGCAATATTTTTTGCAAAGCAGCATATGCTGCTTTGAAACACCAACTTTATAACAATTCTAGAGAATATCCAAGTGTGTCATGCTGCTTCCAGGGAGCTCTTCCAGCTTTTACATGTGTAATGGCTTAATGCAGTGAAGCCTGGGCTACAGAACAGCTGAAGTTCCTTAAATGAACAGTGGAAGAATAACTGAAGAGCTGCTGTTACAGGCTGAAATATTGCCATGTTGAATGATTCACTCCATCATCTGCCTTCTGACTCTTGCCTTCTTGCCTTGCATCTCTTTGTTTATGGGATTCTGAATTAAACCATGGAATGGACAGGTGTTGGGGTTAGGTAGCTGTGAATGGGATCTATAACCAGAAGTCAGTGTTGTTCTGGTGACTTATGAGACACAGAAAACATCCTGCTGTATGAAGTTAAATAGCAATTAACTGTTTTCTTTCACAAAGTCAAGCTTTCTATTTATTTACAGTTGTGTACAGTGCTGCTTATATAAATTGCTACTTTTGTTGAAAACCGTTAAATTATTTTGTGATTTTTGTAGCAATGTATTAAGTTTTTATCTTTCAGAAAACTTACCTTTTACAGTCTTTGGATATAATTCTTTTTCTTAGCAAAATGAGAGCCTGGCGGCCTAGAACACTTTGACCTGAAAGGGGTGAAATTCTGGGATGTAGATGCTCTAACTCAGTAACAACATAACCAGAGCATTTCATTTCAAGAATTTCAGAATGGAACTTAAAAGTGGTACCTTAGAGTGTTAATGTTTTGTAATAATTCAGAAATTTTGGTAATTTTTACAATTAATAATCAAGATTATTAATACTGGTGAGCTGGGAGGAATACTTCTGCAATATTTTTGATGTGATTTCTCATTCACTTGAAAATTCATACAGTCCTTTTGGGTTTCTTTCTGTTTGCATCTTCTGGTGTCCTCTGTGTATTAAAAGTAGAACTTATAATGTTGATAAGTACATGATGAATTGATGAATTCTTTTCTAAAGATACCTTTTTTGAATCACTTGAGATATGTGTGTATACTCTAAACGTGCTTTTCTCTAAAGAGTTGAATCTTGTTTCAGAGAGCAACGGTGACTGGAGAAAGGCTGAAGCTGTTTGGACTAAAATTCAAGAAGAAAATGTTGTTCCTCGTGAGAAAACACTAGCTTTACTGGCTGATATACTTGAGAAGAATGGTCAGGTTGTTCCATTTGATGTACCGAAGGTAACTGGTGTTTAACTTTCCTAGCTAATAGCACTTCTGAATGTATTTCTTTCCACTGATGCATGTTAACAAATAGCACTACAGTAACTTAAATAAGTTTGTTTGTTTTAAAGGTTAGACATGAAGATTCCAGTTTAACTGATTCTAATGTGGAAGAAAGAAGAATAAAGATACTTTGCAGGAAAAACAATGCAAAAGGTGAACTGAAAAACACTTGTTTTTTCCCCTTTCAGCATTAAAGATTTCAATTAACTACAGAGCAACAAATGCTTGCTGCTGCTTTTGTTGGTTTGCTAGTATGTTAGGAAAGGTATATAATAATGTTACCCTGCAATATTATGCTTCAGAAGCTGATATGAGAAGGATATGCTAAAATATTTAACGTGTCATTGGAAATGCTGACTTGTAAATGCATGTGGTGAAGTTGGCAATTTAAATTTACCAAAATATTGCTGGTCTGTAGTTCACTTCATACTGTTGGGTTAACTGTTCTAGACTTTTAAATGTATCCATTAAACACCAGAAACTAAATTTATATACAGGATTGATGCTAAAAATACTGTTTTTACGGTTCCCTGAAAATCTAGCTGTTTGGTCACAAGTTTTATGGTGTGAGAAGAAAGATTAATGTCAGGCGAAATAGCTGGGACATGTTTACATGAATGGAGTTACCTATTAAATTATTCGGAGATTTTGCATTGCACCTGCTGTTGAAGTCTTAATAATAAGATCAGATATAGTTCCAAAGTATACTTCAGGTACCTCATTTAAGCAATAGATCAGGCAAAGAAATTAAATAGATGACATTGAATGAGATGGGACTGCTGTGGAGATAGTCATTGCTCTCTTCCTATCTGGCTTTTTATCTGTTAGTCTGTTTCCTGTCGATGTTGCAAGGCTGTTTATTTCTATTTGAAGGGGGAATTCAATGTGTTTCATAATGTCTTTAGCTTCTTTACAACTATGATTAAAGTTGTCCATGTTTCTCCATAAGATTTGTAAACTTTTTTTCCCCTAAAGACATACACAGCCTATAAACAAAAGATCAAAGTCTGTGTCTGCAAAGCTCACTCTTTTCAAACCCCTGTGCCTGTGGGTGCCACCCCACAAAAAAAATGGCCTTATCGAGAGAGCACTTTATATCAGTTCTGCTATGAAAAATGAGTAGCTCTTCTGTGCAAACTTCCCTGCCTCAGATAAAAACAGAATCGACTTATACATGGATATTTGCCTTTGTATATAGAAAGGAGGAATATACCTCAGTGCAGTTCCTTTGGCTTAGTCTGTGTTCAAATAATTGGAAATCCATTCTATCCATCTTGTCCCAAAGCAGGGTCACAAGGTCACAACTAGCATTACTGGACCTTTCAAAGGAGGGAGGAAATCAGTCCATTTCTAGCATTTGAATATTCTGGAAATCCTTATTTTCTTCGTCTGTACTATGACAAATAACTAGGTATCTCACATGAAAGCAGATTAGAAAATAGAATTAAATAGGTTTTAAAAAATTAATTTTGCTGAATGAGGAAGATCTATAAATACAAGATACCCAGTAATTTTCTTCTGAGCGTTATCAGTATATTTTACATGTTGGACACACATATTTTCAACCTTTGCGTTTTTAAAAGACTAATATGTCAGTCATTCACACAGCTAACTTCTGTTGTCAGTGAAATGACCCTATAAAGTTATTCAGTTTCAAGAGCACTGATTAGAGGTCTAAATTGGAGTCTGGATATTCTGTGTATAGGAGTGCAATGTTATGTATGTGAATTTAAGAATTGTGTATTATAGCAGACATAAAGTTAATGTTTTCTGGAAATTGTTCATGCTGGTCAATTTTGGGAATCAGAAAAAAATGAGAAATGCAGAAATATTTTACTGAAAACCAGGCAAAATGAATGGAATTTATTTTACAACATTACTCCTAGAAAAGTGTCCTGTGCCTCTGATACCATAACTCAAGTGGAAAGCAGGAGGAAACTAAATATGCCTTGGACCTTGCAGGGAGACTAGTTTAAAACAAAAATGTAAAATGTAACAGCTAACAGTCTATGATGATATTTGATATTGAATGTATCAGTGAATTATCCCTGCATATTCTTTTATTTAAAGGTGCAGTATTTGAGAGAATGTGGCCTAGAGCTATTGGGAATTAAGGGAAACAAGACAAATGTTGAGAAACAGGTCTCTTAGTTTTCATAGGTTTGTTTAAGACAAAGTTGTTGCTTTTATATAACAGTATAATGTAATTTTGATGTGAATGTAATAGGGGAGAATATAACTTTTTATCAGTGCCAGCTTTCTGATAGGAGAAAGATCAACTTTATCTAGTCATGTAACTAATTTCATAAATTTATTATCTCTGACATCAATGTCTTTTGAAAATCTATTCTTTGAAGTCCATGATTTATGCAAAGTCATATTTTCATTTTTATTTTGATTCATCAGTGTGAGAACTTGACTCTAGGGAATCATGTTACACATATCCCAAACAGTTGCAATTGCTGAAACAACTTTGACTGTCTTGAGAACTGAAACTTTTTTGGCAAGTTGTCCTTTTGTAACAAATCTTTCTACTTGAAATAGCTAGTGAAACACAATATGATTTTGAAACCAAGAACTTTCTCTTTTGAATGCTAATATAATTAATTAATTTTAAATGCTATCTGAAGGTGTAATATACTGATAATACCTGATCAGGCATATGTCTCAAGACTCATCTAGGCACAATAAAGTTCAGAAAATAATCTGAATAGGATAGTCATTCTGGGGTCGGAACTGACATACACAAGAATACATCCTAGGACATGAAAACAAAACTAACTAATACAAAGATTTTTAGTTTTTCATTGAACTAGTCATTAAAAAAAAGATTTAAATACATTTCTTTGTAGAAATAGTTCTTACATTTTGTGAACTATGATATATGATAGTAACATATACTTGACATCACGTTCACTGGTGGCAAGGTCCATTTCTGTAACCAATCAATGGAAAGCAATATTCAAACACAGAGTGAAATCCTAGTTTAGTCTGAAGGCAGCAAAGCTTTTTGTAGGAGTCTTCAAACATAAGGATTTTTTTGCTTTAAAAATTAGAATTTAAACAGGCTTTCAAAAGCAGAAAGAACAAGCCTGTCATAAGTCAGCTCAGCTACATTTTTGTAAATAGTTGTAACAGATTATACCAGTGAAAGGGTTTTTGTTATTGTTGAATGTGATTGCTAGTCTACTGGTACCTCAGATTTCAGAAGAGTAGAAGAAAAATTGTCTTTCCTACTGAATATAAGTGTGAACACTTTATGAACGCTGGTGTTCAGCACATTGCAACAGGCCAGGCTTTAACCTCAGACCTGTAAGTAAATGTGGTGGAGGATTTTCAAGACTGTGTCATCCTGTTGTTTTGTTTGTCTTTTGGTTGACAATGCAATCACTGTTGTAATGTCAGACATCAGTCATATTCTCTCTCCATCTCCCTTATGTCTCTTTGTCTCTCTTGTCTACATGAAACTCACATACATAGAAATGGATTTAATTTTCACTGTTGATATTTGTATCCTTTATTGCTGTTCATATATATATATATTTAATGTATCTCCAAGTGTCCAAAGTAGATTATAGATGGCAATGTTAATTCTAATTAGTAACTCAGTGTAAGAGTTATGCATAGTGTTTCTTTTTACCCACATTTCAGGAAGTTTTTATGTATACTCTTTGGTTGAAGAAGTTTAAGATTCAAACCAAAACGCACACCAGCAGTTTTGGTTTGAGGAATGCCAGCTTAAAATTCCACAGCACATTATAGTCAGTGCTCTTAGCGTGACACTTCTTGTGATAGTAAGATTCAAATGAGTTGTCTTCATCTTTACTTTCAAAGCAGAAAAAAGCTCAGTGCTTAGCTGTGAAATTTGTAGTGATAGTCCAAGTATTTCTGAAAAGTTTTAAAGGTTATTGTGGCTATTGATTTGAATTAGCAAAGCGATGTTCTTTTGAGTTTCATTAAACGAAACTTAAAATCACATGTAAAAGATATTTGTGGCTCTTAACACAGCTTTCTAGCGTATGTTACAGCGTGGATGGCAGTTCTAGCTGCATGTTTATAGCTGCATAATCTTGTTTCAGAAAAATAAATGACTGAAAAGTGTGCTTATCATTTTTTCCCCCTTTTTGGTAACATCTTTTCATACACTGACAGTTATTGTGAATGCATGAAATAAAACTGTTAATCAGTCAAACAAATGCAGCGTAGTTTACTTGTTAAATATCTGTATATTTGTAAATTGTATGTTTTGTATAAATCTTGTCGTAGCCAAATAATTTGATCTCCCCATATTGGAATCACCTCCTATATTATTTGTTAAATGTTGTTGTGATAATGCACCAGACACTGTAACTATATACCCCAGCATTAGGTGTTGCTTTAATAATCCTGAGTCTTCCCCTTCTAACCAGCTGTGGTTTTTAATCAACAGCCACATAGAGAAAAAGAGCAGTAGCAAACTTTTTGTTCTGTGGAGGTATTTATCAATTGATTGTTGTATGGAAGGAGTTTTGAACAAGCTGTGACCAACACCTTTAGCCTCAAAGATGTAAGCAAAGATCAGTAGATTTAAGATGGACCTTTTCAATGAATAGGTTGATTTTTCTCTGTGATTGACATCATCACAATATGACATTTCATCTTTTTTTGTTGTTCTTCTTTTTTAGAGGCCTACAATATTTTCCTCGAAATGCAAGGGAAGAAGGAGTTTCATCATCGTTCTTATGACATCCTTATAAAAGCGTTATTAATGCAGAATTGTCTTGAAGAAGCCATTGAAGTGAAACACGCGTAAGGTTTTTCTGTGTTTTGGGGATTTTCATTGGGTGGGAGGGGTGGTTTTAAATAATGTCTGGATCATTTTCATGTGAGTCCTTATCTTTCAACAGCAAAACAGGTCATGACTGGTAATTGGGAGCTGTGGTAAGAAATACACCAGTATTTCATAGGGCAATACGCTAGAGTGACAGTATGTATTGCTAATAACTCATTTCAACTAACAGTATCAAGAAATGTACTTGGCATCAGAACTGGAAGTCTACTCTTCTGGCAGTCTGCCTTTTGCTCTTTAGAGCAATATCCAAACAGACAAGATTCCTTTTCTTAACTGCCTGTGAGTCTTCCCCTCAGTGCCCATCCCTGCTGCTTTCCTACTGTACCCACACTCCCTGGCAGCTGGCTGTCTGCCAAATGCAAAATGGTACGTTTGACTGTGATGCCAGCCGCTAGGAAATGACCATAAACCTTAGATCCAACTCTTAACAGTTCTGAAATAAAAACAGCCTGCTGTCCTGTATTTTTAGAATCACCAGAATTGAATTAACCTTTAGAGAGTTGTATGGTATACCACTCACTTTAATTATTGCCTGTAATGTGTGTTCTGGTCACATTATAGGCTTCAGAGTAGAAGTGTTACTACTCATCAGTGTAGAGATAAGAACAACAAAAATAAAAACCAAAAATTTAAGTAATTTAAGTTTTTCAGTTTCTTCAGCTATAACAAGCACAGTGGTTGTCATCATGTGTGTTCTCTGAATGAATACAGTGATTTTGAAAGTACCTATAGGTAACTCACATGATGCACAGAGCACTATAAAAATCTAATAATTTTGAGTCAACTTAGGTTTTGATGTTCAGGAACAGTATAGTGTGACATGATGTTTATTATTTTCATGTTTTCTTTAAGTGTTTAGACCAAAGAAATATCGTTTAATTGAAAAAGTATTCAAGTTCTACATTCAGAAGAATAGATGTTTTTTTTCAAATAGGTTTTGGTAACATATCTTAGAAGTAAAAGAATGTTGATAAAATTTAGGTGGTGTGTTAAACATGCCCAGAAAATATTCATGTATTTGAAGATGTATTGAAAGTTTCTTCGGGGAAGAAATTTGAAACTTTCTACTGAAGATTTGTACATGCATTGACTGCTTCCCTGCTTCACAGCTCAAACACACTTGTAAGGAAGATGCATAAAGTATTGCATGTTATCAGGAGTATTTTGCAGAATGGAAGAGCTGAAAGAACATGGTGGCTTGTTCCTAGTATTTTCATGATTCAGAATTCCCGCTTTAGATAAGTGTTTTAGTATGTAAATTGAAAATGCATGGGAAAAAAAATGAACAAAAAATTTTAAACACTAAAAAAGTTGAAAGGACTAACCCCTCCGAACCTTGAGATACTTAGGAAAAAAATAAAATGGGATTTAATAAGAGGTTCTATTCTTGGTCACTGGTCAAAGCCAACCATCATCACAACCCCTGTGCTTTTCAGAACTCTTGTACTGCCAAATGACATTCTAAGAAGCTTGTAACAGCTCACTGTTCCATCAAGACAGAAAATGCTTCATACTGGCAATATTCATGGTGTTTATCTGTGTATCTTTTTTCTAGTAACAAAATGATGCTTACATTAAGCATTTCCAAAAGTCTGTGAGTTTTAAAGTATTCGCTGAAATAGTGAAAGTGATTGTGTGTCTATCCATGGTTGAGGAATAGCAAATCTATGTGTTTCACACACATTTCTGCATGCTTGACAATATTTCCAACCTCATGTTGTAAAGAGATTACTCCTGCAAAGCCTAAATGTGTGCAGTGGCCTGAAACCTGTGCAACTCCTAATATTTTCATAAAATACAGGAAAGCTATCTTCACGTATGTAAGCTGACATCTTTTTCTTTTTACTCTGCTTGAAGCCAAATTTGAATTTTAAATAATATTTAGAAAGCCTTGCTATGACCATTAGCATAGGCAACAAAATAAGTATTTTATTTTATTTTATTTTTTAGAAAGGTCAAATAATTTTAAAACTTCCCTCCTGTCATTAGAATGGAGGAACTTCCATGAAATAGTGATGTAGTAAAAGGAATTGCACTCCTACTATGCATTTGGAAAAAAAAAATCAACCACCATTACTGATCTGTTGGTCAACCCAATTGCTTTGCATTCTAGCACTGTTTTGAGGAATATTTACAGCATTTAGTCCAAGAATTTTTAAATAGAAATTTAGGAGTATTGGAATGATGGATTAGTTCTGTAATAGTAGCTAACATCTATTTAATCACACTAAAGATTGGAAGATTGGAGAAAGTAAATCCTTTGTTATGTGTAATTTAAAGTCTCATGCATGAATTGTTGACTTAAGGGCTTTGACAGATGGGACAAAGGGGGAAAAAAAGGCGGAACTGAGCAGTGGGTGCTTAGGCAGGGATTAAGAGGATTGGTTGGGAGAGTAAGAAAATCCCGAGTCCAGTGACTGCACTTGTGAGCCTGGGAGGCTGAAAGTGACTGAGAGGATAGTCATATTGTGTGCACTGTGAAGGATTTTCTTGGGATTGAGGAGAATAATTTAGCAATGACCCTGCTTACCTCCCAATCCGCTCAGCCTCTAAGTTCAAGTAGGTAGGCTGCTCAGTTGTTTGCCACAGGATGATCAGTGAGGTTTATCTTGATTGTTGATATGGTAAATGGCAATGCCCCCCTTTTCTGTGTAGAGATTTTGTAATCTAGAAATGAACATTTGTAAAGTTATCCTTCTGTATTAAAAATACAGCGCTCTGTTATTTAGGAACAGGAACATTTTGTAGTGTAAGATCAGTGTGATTGCTGGTTAGTCTCTTGACTAATTTCCAGAGTGTTAGAAAAGCTTTAGAAGTGTTATTAAAGTAAAGATTCTCTTTGCTATAGATACGTGAAGTTTTGTATTACAGGAGATGAAGAATTGATAGGCGAAATACAATTTTGACATGGCTAAGGCAGCAAATGTAGTATGTTCACTTTAAAACCTGTATACATCTAGATGACAGAAATTTGAAAATTAATCAACCAAATGATATGGTGTTAGTTCATAATATGCTTTAGTTTATGTTTAAAATATACAGTGCTGAAAATAAATGTTTCATTTTTATTGCTGAAAGAATAGTTTTATATTTTATAATTATGGTGACTATTGAAAAAAGAAGAAAAAGTATCCAGCTTAGGATACAACAGAACAATGCAGGGCATGCAGTTATTTTAGTCATCTAATATGTCAGCATTCAAGAATCTGAACCGATTGTTTAAAAAAAATCTTGTACTTTGTTTCTTTTGTTGCTCACTTCCAACTTTGTCATCTGTCAGAATGCAAAAAAAAATTATCCTTCTATAACCATTGACAGGATAACACAAAAGCTGTCTCCAGGTCGATATTTTGCAGCAATATTTTTAACATACGAACAGTAGTTTTTATAATTTCACCTTGGTGCTCAACCATTTATTATCGTATCAGAAGCATGTCAGTAATTCCTTTCTAAATGTCTGCTTCTTTTAGTGCTGAGACCCACATCAAGGGCTTCACACTGAACAGTGCTGCCAGCAGCCTCCTCATCATATCGCAAGTTAGGCGGGATTATTTGAAAGGTATGTCACAATGCTTGACCTTTACGTCACATTAATGCCTCTGCAGATTTTTCTTGTAACGCCCTTCGAATACTTGGATAAAGGAGTCCATTTAGCAAATTACCTGCTTATCAAGAGCCTTTTGTGGTAGCTGAGAGACGTAAATTACTGTACATGCATTTATAATACAGCTTGAATATGAATGTACTTGTCATTTGACCACTTAGTCCAGTTTCCATTCCATTTAACACAAGATGGGTTTTCTTAAGATGAATCACAGCTCTTCAGACATGCAAAATTTGTGCTCCAGAACGAGAGAAAGTACAGGCTTTCAAGTGCGTTAAAATTCACAGCACAAGTCATTTTGCTTTGGAAATTAACATACTTTAGAGCATCTGAAACAATTCCCAGCAGTTGTTTCTTGCATATTGTGTTGGTTGTGTGAGATACCAGATGAGTTAAATTGACTGTTAAATGTGCATGATTGTGCACTAAATGATTATAATATTGATTTAAAAACTTAATCAAATACTTTTTAATAGTTCTCAATACCAACAGTAACAAAATATTCAGTTTAGTTTTCGTTTTTAGTGATGATAGGGAAGAAAATGGTGGCTGAAGAGTATGTCAGGGTACCCAACAAGATGGTGGATAAAGTTTACAGTTGTGTTATTTTAGTTCTCAACATTGGTTGTTTTGCAGCCTAGAGTTCAGCTCCACGGTGTTATTTAAATTGTGCAGTAGAACTCTCGTTAGAAAGGAGAACTCTACAAGCACATAGTTTTACATGCAGTGCTGTGTCTTTTATCCCTATGGAAGTGTAACCACACTGTTAATGCATGTTTTTGTCAGTGCCTTTAAGCATTAAAGCAGCTATGTATGAAGAAAATGTGTTACACTGAACTGGGTTTTACTTTCATACCAGAAAGCATACCAGAAAATCCATTTTTGATTCAGCCATCAGTTAATTTTATTTTTTTCAATTGTGCATAGTAGCCCATAAAATACTCATAAGATGAGCATTTAGATGCAGCTTCTCACTTGTACTCTTCCCTGCAAACTTGTCTTTTTTCAGATACCTTCCCCATTCAGTCTCCAGTCTGTCATCATTGCTAGGTGTCACTGACTGAAGTATTTGTGGTGAATGCAATTGCTTCTCTTGCTTTTGTCCAGTCTTAAGTTTTTGCAGCTTTCAAAGCCTTCACCTGACTTTATTAAGGTCTAGTTTTACCTAATGTTATTTTAATAATTTTTCTGCTTTTTTTTTGCCCAGTGTGCCATGAAGTTTTGCCAGTTCTTCCTAAATATTACACACCAAAAATCTTTCCTTCAGAACGTGACTGATGATTATATATTCTGCCAATCTTTTGCGCTAACTACATGATTTCTTTTTAGCCAGCGTGCTAAATTCTCTGCACATCAACCCTCTCCCTTGCTATACTCTAAAAGTGAAACAATACAAAGTTTCTTAAGAAGTCTGTGGAATTACATTCCTTTACAAAATTATGTTTTCCTGTATCTTGTGCATTGATCAGGCTTTACTTTGGTAATTTAATTGAATAGTCAGACTTGATCCTTGTTTGTATTTTAAGTTGAAAGATACTGCTTCTCTTTTTGTAAGTGAAGCCTTGAAAATGCAAGCTGTAATATTTCAACTATATGGGTAATTTTCTGAGGCTCACAGTTTACCAAATAAACTTTTGGGCATGGTCTTTTTGTAATGTTGGTGAGCTCAATTTGACCTACATTCTCTGATGGCTTTCACTTGAGTAAAGCTTGCTTGCTTTAGCACTTCCTCATACAGTTCACCATCATTCTTTGCTGTGTAATGTGGTACAGTTAGAAGTTTTTATGTAGGTCCCTAAATATACTTGTAAAAGCTCTTGTATCTTCTAGCGAGAACTTGGTAAAACCCAGATAACTGGGTCAGAGCTTGAGTTTCATGATAGGGAATTTTCAGAGTTTATAGGAAAGCCTTTTACAAGATAAAAGATTGGTTTTCACAAGCACATAGTTACCTGCTTTTAAGTACTGAAAAATCAAAGGATGAAATTACTGAATTCGTATTAGTAGTAATGAGTATTTTTGCATAAGAAGGAAAAAAAAAAAAAAGATGCCAGCAGAATTATCCAGTATGCTACTAGTATATACTTTTCTTGCAGTAGTGCTGCACACATGCAACGTTCAAATCTGTCTCTGTCCTAGCTTTTGAGAAGGCTGGTCATGCCCGGTGCTAAAGGGAAGTCCACACTTACAGTCAGGAGAGATTGAATTTAGCATGTGTTTTAAGTTTGTTTTTTAAATTTTAGGTATCTTGCCCCAGCGTATTTCACCTTTTTTTCCCTAAAAAGAAAGGGTTGTGGGGGAAGTGGAGGGAGGCTGTGCAGGAAGAGAATTTGCTATGAAGGAAGGTTAGGCATACAGGATGTTTCTTCTTCCTCACTTGTAATATTTGGTTTCTGCAGTACCTGCATATTGAATTGGAAATGTTAATGCTGTGGAGTTCAAGTGGGTGTATATTATTTTAGAAGTGTTATCCCTCGGTATTATAATTATTATCTGTGATTAATCCTGCCTATGCTAGTAAGGAGTAAGAGATTTTTACCAGAGGGACATGTCTTTCTGTGTGTGTTTGCTCATGTATAATGTAAATTGACAAGAATTCTGCTTAGAGAAATGAGGATGACTTCATCTGCCATGGGTTTGGGGAATTTGTGGCAGATGAACAGGAGGTTGATTTTGTGTGGTTTTAACATAGGCAATTGCTATAATTTTAGGAGTTCTTGAGGTAACTGTCCAGATTTGAGTTCATTTTTGGTCTGGTATGGAGACTTGCGTCCCATGTTTTTATTTAAAAATTAGATGTTGGTAAACAAAGTTTTGGTGCACACATAGAGACAAATCTGAATACTAGACTTTAGCAGTTTCAATAATGAATTATATTTTTAAACTATATTTATTGTTAAGTATGCAACAGTTTTGGTTTTTAGTAAAGAAAATTGATTGTAGTTTGGAGAAAAAACAAGCTGAAAAGGTCATTACTTTAAATTTAGCCATAAGGGAAGATATTTGTAAGACAGCTGCTTTCCTTGACCTGAATACTAAAATAAATTAATTATTAAAAGTATCTTAATACTTGTTATTGAGTAAATATTACATCATTTTAACCTGAATTACTGTTGAAAGTTTTTACTTGTCTGTGTATACATTCAAGTTAAAATTCACTATAGAAATTTTGGGGCTTAAATTTAGCAAGAGTATTATTTTCTGTACATGTTTTTAAAAGGGTAGAGTTAATGATACCAGCAGCATGGTTGCCTTCTGAACTAAAATCTGGTTTCCTTTTCCCTTATTTCTTTACCATTGTTAGATGCCATGGCTGTTTTAAAAGGAATACTTGACAGTGGTGTGTTGCCTACTAGACCAGCAGTTACTGCGCTCATTCAGGCTCTGGCAGAAAAAGGAGACCTAAAGAACCTGCAAGCACTTAAAAACATGCTGGAAGACATCACAAAATTAATTGGTGTATCTGCCTCACTAATTGCTAATGCTATTGCTTTGGCTCATACTAAAAAGTAAGTATTTCTAGCACTAGTATATGTAATTCATTTATGCAGAGTAGTGGGAAATCACTTGCATTATCTCTTTCATTCTGGTTCTGTTCTTACAGTGTCCTAGATATTAGAATTCTGGTCAAGCTGAGCAGTGTGCTGTGCAGTTCTGTTCTAGTATTGTTTCCCAAACACATTTGAGGTTGAAAATAATTTAATGAAATACAGGGTTATGAAGCATTTGGAAGAGCATAAGGTATTCTCTGGTGCTGTATTTTGGCCTTGATACATTTCTTCTAATGTATTACACCTCATGTAAAGTGTTCCTCCTTGGTGTTAGATCAAAACCCCTATGAAATCTGAACATAAAATTGAATGACTTCATCAATATAAATATAAAAAATCTTGGACCTTAGTTCTGATGGATTATGCATATAATACTTGTTTGGAAACAACAATCTGCTATCTGCTCCAGTCATTGACATCACAAAATATTATTGTGTTTACCCTCAAAATGTGAAAGCCAGACATATATCTGTGGAGCGGTTTTGTATTATTTTGTCACAATTTTTTAAAAATAGGCTGCTATGCTGTTTTAGGCCACTGTTTTGATCACGATAATTATCTCCATGCTTTGAGTATCCTTTGATTCAGCAGTTTAGTTCAGTATCATGTTCTGCCCAGCATTTTTGTTTTAGTTAATACATTGGTTCTATGCTACTTTATCCTTTGTATAAAACTGCATGGGAGAAGCACTTCTGGGGGAAAGGGCCTACTATGAACTTCTCAAATAATCTTTGCAGGAACCATTCTTCAGGAATCCTATATACTCTGTTATTTTATTTCACACTGGTTTCATCAGGTAGAGCTCCTGTGACGAACTCAGCAGGGAAGCTGTAGAACTGTGTAGTACATAAGATACCCAGTTGCCTCAGGCATTCCAGACCAGAGAGAATAGTCACTGAAGTGTTTGGAACAGCAACAGGACTTGAATTGAAGGAGAACTGTGCAAACCAGTTCCAATAGAGAGCTCACTGTATTTTCAGACACTGAAAAACAATGTTTATAAAGGACTGATCTTGTAAATAATTAGATCTGAGTGGTCCTTGGCACGCAGTTCTAGTGCATTGACTTTTGCCTAAATTAAATGCTCCAAATAGGAGAGATACTTCAGGATTTGTCTCCTAAGCTGCATATTTTCCTATATTTCTATGTCATAAAAGTGTTGCAAAGTCATGCTATGTTCTTAGATGTAGACTGGTGGCAAGAATAAATAAATAAATAAATTGCTGTATGCAGGCACAGGTTATTTAAGCAGCACCAACTTTTCCCATACTGAAACTAACTTGGATGTGTGAGAAGACTTGGCAGCAGCAGAAGTAGTACGCACCTTATATATTCTTAAATATCTTGCAAGCTGTACCTTGAGAACAATGAAAAACAGATTCTAACACATATTTTAATACATGCTCATTTATTGGTAGATTCATGGTTTTGATACATTTTTTAAAGCATTTTTCATAGCTTTCAAATTTGTTGCATTTGTGCTTCATCTAAAAGCACTTACAGTGTTCCTATTTCTTTTTCAATTAAATTATTTTTTAGAGTGGACTGGTAAAAGATACTGTCATTTGAAATTTTCAGAATGCCAAAAGCAGAGTTTACACTTTGGTGAACGCTTCCTGCATTATTTCATTAGCATGCGCTATACTTAAGCCATAAGATTAAAAGTGTTTAGACAAAGGTACTGACTCAGTGGCATTTAATATTGTCTTTTGCATCCAAAAAGTCAGGCATGGCAAAAATTGGGTAAATAATTAATTGAATAGCATTTAAAAAAAAACCTACTTGAGTTGTGTGCATTAATTATTCAGATACCTTCCATTAATGTTTTGATTTTGCCTTCTAGATTCACAGAACAAATTTTTCTGAAGCAGATAGCTGAACTCTTCTTTCTTAATGAGGACAAAAGTGTGTCAAAATTACTTAGGCTTTGTACAGGTTAAAGGTCATTAATACTTTTTATTTATGGGTTAATTTATTCATTTGGTCATAAATGGTTTCACTTTTACAATATCTGAATGAAGTCATAGGTACTCAAACATTCCTGGGAAATATGCAACCTTAATGTAGAAAACAAAAACTTAAATATCATTGTTTATTTAGGTTTTGAAATCTTGATTTCAGAAACTAATCCAGTTCAATCCCTTTTCCTAGCAATGACCTTGATGCTGCTGTGGAATACCTTGAGCCTCTGCTTATCTCTGGTGCACAGAATCCTGATCAAGCTGTCAAAAATATTTCCTATTTGTTAAGAAAGGTGTCTGAGGAAGGATTAGAACCAGCTTTTGAAAAATGTAAGTTAATTGCAATGATATTTAAATATTCTGACTAGACAGAAGTGTTATGAAAGAGCTATTACATGTAAAACCTGCTCGGTCAGCATAAATCATGCCTGTAAAGTTTACAAAAGTGGCTTTTCAATCAAAGATTTTCCTTATGTACCCATCATTTTGCAGTTGGTGTGATGGCAGAACGACTGGCCAGTCAGTTCGGAATTTACAGACCTGTCACAGATCTTTTCCTTCAATATGTCAGTGCAGACAGAGTGGATGATGCCAGATCGTTGATACAGGTAATGACATAACAAGAGAGCTACAGAAATGCTTAGAGCTCTTCAAAGGTTAACTGAGAAATTGTCAAAAAGAGGTGTTGTATAGCGTAGGCTAGTACTAGTATGCTTTTGAATTACAGTGTGAGTAGCACTGTCACAGTTTAGACTATTCCAAAGCATGAGCTGGTGCTTTTAGTACAAATAGTAGTAGTGGGTGCCAGTTGGAAGGTTTTGGTCTCCTAACAACCTGAAGGAAATACTTTCCCTATATTGCTTGAAATTCCATCCAAAGCAAATACTCTTTTGTAAGTTTTCTGCTAGACCTAGCAGGTGTTTCTTGCAAACCATTTCCTTGCAACTTCTCACATAATTTAAGTGCTGTAAACATAATATCTTACAACTGTGCAGTTTGCAAACCAGAAGCAAGCAATGCTTGCTTTTTGTGGACCTTATTTCACTTGGTTTCAGTAATACTGTGTATGCTGTATTCAAGGTTTATTAAGAGCTGAATTTGCTTTCTATTCACTTGAGTGTCACAGATGCACTACAAGACAAATGCTGGTCTCTGAGGCACTGTCTTAGCTGAGTTAGAGACCTTCAAGGGATTGAGACAGCTACATTCATGCTATTTGTACAGAGCTAAAGACAAAGCCGAGCCAGAGGTGGGATAAACTGTGGGTGGTGGGAGCTGCCCAAACAGGCTCACTCAGGGAGGCTTATCCCAGCAAGGTAGCAGTCCAGCCGTCACACCAGTTCTGCAGATGGTTCTATGTGTGTAGGCTCCTGCCTAAGATTGAAGCCTCTTACCATTTCCTGGTGCTACACACTACTCATTTACCAGTTGCTAAGTATATTAAGCTGCTACAGAAAAAGCTCTGCTTCATCTGTCAGATGTTTTATGATATTGCAAGATCTTTTTTTTTATAAGAATGCATACCAACAAATAATAAGTTCAGTTACTTCTGCTACAGTATTATTTGTATATTCCCTGCTCTGGAATATGACTTTATTTATTTCTTTGCCTAACTGTTCGTCTGAGTATTAAATTAAAACGAGACTACAATTCTGATATAAAACCCTCTTGCTATATAGCATCAATATGCATCAAAATGCAAAAAACTCAATTTATGTTATTCTTCATGATTTTTTTGATTGCTCTTTGATTGAAATGAATGAAATTGAGTGAATAAAAAGTGGTTATGATTTCTTGCTTTTGTGAATATAGGGCGTTTTGCATTTAAGTAAAATAGGCATGTTCTTAAAATTTTTCAAAACATGGAGTGATTTCCATTTATATATTCCTAAAAATTATTCCAACAGCATCGAACTATTGGAATTAAATTTATGCCTCAGTAGAATACTTGAAATAACGTTGTATACCCTATATCTTGGGGGAGAATTTCAAAATATTTCATGTTAAGTGAACATTCACAGGTAAGCTTGAGTTGAAAGTACCGTGTGTATGAGAAACTGGTTTTTATATGGTTCAGGAAAAACTTTCAGTCGTGTTAAATGTTCTTGACTGCTATTGTGGATCAAGTATTCTTCTAATGGGTAACTAGAATCTAGTAATAATCGTATAGTAATAGTATTAATACACATACAGTACATTCATCATGGCATAAACCAAAACGTCTTGTTTGCATATGTCTAAAATATTAATTGGATGCAGTAAATTCATGGTATGTGTATTTTTACATGCACAGTATTCTCTTCCTGTGCATTTTGGTACTGATTCCAACTTAGAAAAAGTACTGTGCATTGTAAGAATTTTAAGACTAACACCTTTGAGGAACATACACTAAAATACAGTCTTGTCTATTTTATTTTGCCCTTGTTTCTAAAGTAAGATAGATTTTTGATTTTTTAATCTGGTCTGTCTCAAACTTTTCTAAGTTCAACTTCTCTCTCTCTCTCAAACACTGTCTATTGCAGTGAAAGCCTTTTATAAAATAGAGAGATTGAAATCAGTCCTTTGTATGCATAAGTGTAGGTAATTATACTTTAAAGAGAACTTGCTTTGTACATTTTAATTTTTATAAAGAAACGAGCAGTTATCTCCCTGACACCTTATTAAATGTATAATTAACCTTATGATCCCTAGCTCACTTGTGAATGCTTGGCAGTATAATTGGAGAGGAATAGTGTTTCTCTTTTTCATTCTTTTGCAGTCCTAAACCTCGTTTTTGTGGTATGTTGAAGTATTAGTTTAATTCTTTCCCCTTTTGTTTTAAACAAACTTTGTATCTAGCATTTTAAAAACAATGTTTGCCAAAACAGTGCACAAAATTAACTTGTTTCTTATGTTCAGTGGTGGCTTTTTTTTTTCAAACTAATGGTCAATTATTTGCCTTGTAAATAGGTAATGTATTAGTGTATTATTTTAAACATCTGTAATTGGAATTTTTCACCTTAGTCATTTTGTTTATCACTAGCCTACTCATGACTGCTGCATTAATTATTTCTTTTTCTTTAGAGATATGGTGCATCAATTGAGAAGAGAGATTTAGTGACATTTATGGCTAGATCAGCATCTAAACCTGGACAGGTACGATATTTTTTGTGTATATCATTGTATATGTAGCAAAATACTATTTCATTGACCTTTGAAGTGTTTTGGATCTTGAACTTCACAGTTGACAAGCTTTATCAGGTTCCTCGGGGAGGGGGGAGGTTAATTTGCAGAGCTGGTTACATTTAAAGGAACAGTTTACTTTATGGAGCATGATGGAAAAGGAGGGTGTAGTTTAATATTTTTCCATTGTTTCAGTAATTTCTTGCATTTTTGATGTTATACTTTATGTCCTACAAACATTGTGCTTTAAATGTTTTACTGCACTATCCAGTTCAGTGTTGCAACCTGAAAGTACTTATTTTGTTGGCTGCATTGTATGAATACAAATGCAAGTTTGAACTCAGCCTTTCTCTAATGATAAAATGCCTCTATGTTGACATTAGAAGACACATTTCTTATTTTCTTGTTATGGTGATTTAGGCATGTATCTAGTTTGAGCATCTGCTTAGATTCTTGGCTTTGTGCTTGTTCCCTATAATTCGAAATGCCCTCATTTATGTGCCTGCTTGATTCCTGTCCCTCCCTCCCTCATAGCATAAAGCAAAAAACAACCAACCAACCAAACAAAAAAAAAAACTTCACAAAAAAATCCCACCCAACTCTGAATAACAACAAAATCACCCTAAAAACCACATACATGCATGCCAAGCCACATTGATTTCTCTTTCTTAGAGGAGCTGCATCAGGAGACAGTTAATACACAAATTAGAATAAATATGTTTCAAAGGAGGAAAAATGCACATTTATCTTTTGTGGAAATTTCTGTTAAATATTCATAGATTAAAAGTTCTTCTGTTGAAGTGATGATAAATATGATGATAAGCACCATCTTTTGGTGTCTATAGAAGAAATTAGAAAAAAATGAAATTTTCCAGCTTTTCAAGTTGGAATTTTAAAAACACATGGAAGTTAGTAGTACATGATAAAGACTTTATTAATTTCTATAAACTCTTTCTAATTCAAAACCTGAGAGTTTTTGAAACTGGGATTAGAGGTTGAGGGAAGGAGGTTCCCGATTTAAGCATGTTAGTGATCTTACTTCTTTTAAGCACTGATCATAGCTAACACTGACCTCTAGGTCAGTGAAGGCTGCAGAGTGCTTTGCATTTTTTTTTTAATTGGTTGACTTATTCTCATTAATACATTAATTGCTTCCTTCAAGAAAAACAGAAAAGGTAATGTTTAGGCTTCTTGAGTATGGATTTTAGTCCTGTATTTAGTTTGTTTTATTTTGTGCCTGATTTGTTTGACTATTTTGTATCTGTATATGAAATTTTGGGAAGGAAATTATTATGTCTGCTTTCAGTTGCATGGTCCATTCCTTGTTATTAGTACAGTTCATTTCACTTAAGAGATCTGAAATAATTATTCTAACTTTGGCAATTTCATTTTGTTCTTTAAGATATGAAGTTAATGCTCTTTTTGTCTATGCATTACATTTTATAGGCAAAGAAGATTGAGACACTTCTAGAACTGATTCCTGAGCATCTAGATATGGAAATTACATACCGTTACCTCATGAAATGTTACGGTAATTTACTGTCCTTGGAATAGTTTTTTAGTAAGAAATCTTGAGACATTAGGAAGGGTCGTGGAAACCCTTTGCAGGGGGAGTAGGATTTACACTGTGTAACTTGCTTTACAGTTTGAGCCACAAAGAGGTGGGGTGTTTGGGGTTTTTATGTTTTAAGTCTGTTGTGTCCATGTACTATCTTAGCTATTAGATTGGAAAAGGAACAAACTGACCCAAGCCTTGAATCCTTTACAAAACAGGCTGGGTTAGATTAAAGGATACTCCTACAAGAGAGGTGAAGTGGAATAAAAAAGAATCCATCCTAACCCATGGAGAGAAATACTGTAGAAATGAATGGCTTTTCAAATTAATCTAACTGTTTTCCCTGACACATGTAATATTGGTTCCTTTTATGTGTGTGTTTCAAAATCGTTAAGTGATTAGTTCTATGAGTAATGTGCAAGGACCTTATTGTTATTAGTGTAGATTCTTTGTACCTGTTTTAATTTAACCCAAGTTAATATTCCAGATGCCTTCATTTGGATTTACCTAAATAGTTGAAGTGTTAATCAGTTCTTATAGTTGAAGTCAGAGAGGAGCAGCTCTAAAAAACTCAAGTTATTTATTTAAATATGTTTATTTGCAACACTCAGTCTTTAAAACCCAGGACATATAGTCCCTATGGCAACAGTTTGTTGGAAGCTTGCATCTCTGTGCTGTAGTGTCCTTTGCCTGGTGTACTCTGATATGTTCCTCCAGTTTTATTACAGGGAGTAAATACTCTTCACGCATGTATTACAAACTGAAAGGTATAATGACAGAAGCCCTTGTGCTTCAGTCTATCACAGAGGAGATAAATAGGAATAATTAGGTTCTCATGATGTAGTATCTAACCTACCAAACTGACTTGCTTAGTAACATTCAAAACAGCAATCACTACCAAAATCATTTAGCCCCATAGTTTTATTCCCAGCAGGGGTAAGTTTTCTAACATGTTTTTATAAAACCAAAAAACACACCCTTTTGTCACTAGCACTGTACCTGCTGCTTTAGACTGTCACTCACCCTTTACTGCTTTAACCTCAGTAAAAGTTCTGTAAATGAACTAATTAATTTTTTCAATATACTTTCCAACTACATCATAGGACAACAATTTCATAAAGAGATTGCAGAGAATCGATCACTTGCTCTATTATACCAGAAACAGTGGTTAGAGTGTATTCATCATGTGAAACCATGATGTATGTGAACAGATGGTTGCTGTAGTTTCTTTAGGCAGAGATGTAGGTGGCTCGTAGCAAGTTCTAGAGGAGGCATTCTGTACCAGCATGAAGAGTTTTATGAGTGTTTCTCAGGTTATTCTGTACAAGCATCTCACCTGTATGACACTTGGATTCCACTTCTGTATCAGGTAGAAGAACGCACATCAGTTACCTGATACCCTTTATCAGGGCTGGGCCGGATGAGTTGTACTAGGGTATCTTTGCATTTTCTATTGCATCTTTCTGGTTTAGGGAAATAAGGCATTGTCCTACTTTTAGGATATTCAGGGGTGCTTACTATATTCTTCCCCACGCTGTATAACATGTACAGATCTGTACACATGAACAGCAATTTAGCAACCTCTTCCCCTCATCCCTTCTCTTCCATTTTTTGATACTTTCTGCAGTGGCGTGTTAGTTTCATTTGGCTGTTAAAATGATCATCAGCAAAATGTTTAGCACAACTGAAATTTAGAAGGCTGTGCTTTGGTTGTGTTCTAGCCAAGAGGGCTAGAAATAAGATCTTTTCTTTAAAAGATTTTTTTTTACATTTTACAGTTAGTAAGCTTTTAAATATGATTTCTCATTATGGGCCAAGTCTAACCTTGTAGTATCACAATTTTCTAGAGAACAAATGATTCTTCTGTCAGGTGCATTATTATTTTTAGTTAGAAAGTGAAATGAAAGATAACGGAGTATTATTACTACAATTGGTTGCTGTTGCTAGTTATCAAACTAAATGGGCAAATACAATGGTAATTGTTTATGTGTTTAGCAAAGATATAGTAGAACATAGATCAAAGCTGAAAGAAGTCTAATCTTGTATCAGACCTCTGCAACTGAACAAATAAAGGTACATATACTCCTTTCTTTGTCCTGAGATGTGATCAACTGCCAGGACTATATTTCCTCCTCTAGTGAGATGCATAATTCTTTGCTGTACACCTTCTAGAAAAAAAGAAATATGTAAAATCATATTTGTGTGGTCCATTAAATGCAATCTAAGTATTAGCTCTTCTTTTTTTTTTTTCTTTTCCATGCAATAAATACATCTATTTTAAATAAATAGCAAGTTGATGATTTCTATTAGGCTTTCCTTAAACCGTCACTTCATGCAGTTTTTGCAGTAGCCTCACACATCCAGAAAGGAGCTCAGCCACTTGCCAGATGTGAGTGGAAAGCTTTTTCTCGTGAGAAAGGGACACAAGCTATCCATTTCTGCATCAGTAAAGGTCCTTTTCTTCAAGAACCATTGTTTTTGTAGCCCCTGTAGTTGTAGAGATGATGTTTCCAAATGTGAACAAGAAAGAACCTGAGGCAGCTGCCATACTGCAGATGTTTGTGTTTTCCCAAGCAGCAAAGTGAATGTAACTGGACATGATGGCTTCCTTGTTGTTCACAAGGTGTTAGGAACTGTTGTACTGCTTCTAGGACCCTGAGGACAACAGTGAAACTGTGAGGGTTCACTTCAGTTTCATCCCGATGCTTCTCAAGCCAATGTCTGAGCAGCAGTAAAGTCTATGGTTAAGCATGAGTCACTGTGGGAGGAGGAGTTTCTCCCCTCTCCCACTTTAGAGGGAGGAGAAATATACTCTTCTACAGCTAGAAGTGAATAGTGCTTAAAATAAATGAAGAGTGGATTAGTTAAAACATGTTGCAGGGGATGGTGTCTCTTCTGGAATATCCAGAAAAATATTACTGGTTACTTAAGCAGTTAAGATTTGTAATAGTGTTAGTGGGTCAGCAAAAATTTTCTCCCGCTCAGTAGGATGAAATGGGTTTTTCTTTGTGTTCTAAAATGACCATCTGACCTTTGTTTTACTTTGTTCCTTTAGGTTATAGTTTCAGTGTAGCCAGCACCTGGAACTGCAACAATATTTTCTCTTACTTAAGGGACCTAAATTCTGTTACAGAGTTCTCACATCCTGAATTTGGGTGGTTGATGTTCTAGCTTCTGTTTTTAGTTTTTATCATTTACTTCAGACAGAGGCATGTGGCTTTTGTCTCACATCCTAGAGTGGTGTGTTCTCACTGTGTGGCTCCTACTCCTTCCTGGCTCCAGCACATGCTTGAGGGAATTGATCGTCCAGCCTCAAAAAGGAAGGCTAGAATGGCTGTATGTTCTGTTCTCTTATGTGAATTGTGGATTTGAAGAATATCCAGAATATTTGGAATATTGTATATTAAAATATTTAGAATATGTTTGGGCAAGTAGTAGGAATGTGTGACATCATGGAAACAGGTGAAAAAAGGAACACATAATCACTGGGGGATTTTTGTTTTTTATTTTTTTCCTTAGAATTGGATGGGGATGTTGCTTCTGTAAAGGCTGTGTATGAGAAAACAAAAGCAAAGAATATACAGCTGCACGAGCTAACTCTGAAATCTTTAGCAGTTTTTCTGAAGAAAGTAGGAGAGCCTGTCCCTTTCACTGAACCCCCTGTGAGTATTTCCTAATTAAGAAATAGATCTGCAGAATTGTATATGTTCAGTGTTAATAAAACAAATTGCATGAATAATTGTTTAGGGGTTAGATCTCTACAGAGACTTCTCAAAGGAGGTAATGTATGAAGTGCTGTGTTGTAGCAGCTGTAGTAATCTTGTGTTGGATTTGACTTGAGGAAAAATAAAACCTCTTGAGGTTATGATATTTAAACTACGCGATCCTTATCAGACACTCATCTACAGGTGTAACCTTTTTCAAGTGTACTTGGGGCATTTATCTAAGCAATTGAACTTTAAAAGGTTGTAGAATGTGTATTTCATTAACAATTACTGGGGTTTAGTTTTCATTAATTACCTGTTCTGTATCTAGTACAAGTTGCTGGTTTATTAGGATGGGATTTTAGAACTGTAGGAATTATTTTTCTTCTGCAGTTTTGCTCCTAGCCTTTCCAACAGATCTATGCAACTGTGCAAATACATCTTGTTGGAGGGTGACAAGTGGCATGACACTAAATCTGTCAAGACAGTAAATACTTTTTTCACATCATTCCTTTGACTAGTACTCTACCATTTTAGCAAAGCAGACTTTAAAGACTTACTTTGTTTTCCCTCTCTAAGCAAACTTTTTATTGCCATTTTCTAGCCACTTTTTATGTTCTAAAATAAGTGGTTTTTTAGAGGCCTGTAAAGACCTGATTATATGCTGTTTCTCCATGATAATTGTGATTTTCTTCTCTCATTTTACAAGGAATTAGAGAAAAACTTGGCATAAAATATTTGGTTTAGCCCTTTACCAGCTGTGGAGTGTGTTCTGCAACCTTGACGTAATTTATAATCTGAATTTTTATTTGAGCTGTGTAAATTTAAAACCTAGAATATCTGTTTCTTACATGTAGCTAGTGAAAATGTGAGTGTTTTTTCAAAGTCACTGAAATGATTCATTTTCTGATTTCCCTGTTCGATTTTCCTCTAATGCAGCTTGGTCTTTAAAAGCATCTCATAATTTTTTTGACAGAATTGCAGATTGCAGTTAAAAAGTATTTTCATTTTTAAAATGAAATTGATTATATTATTGCATTTTGTAATAGAAGCTTCATTATGCATTTTTGGCAAGGTTTTCCTTTTCCTTTTATTCTCTCTCTCTCTCTGGTATTTCTCTTAATTATACAGACTTCAATACAGATCTAGTTTTGCATGACAGAGAATAATAGATTTTGCTTTTGTCAGGACATAAGACTTTGTTCAGAATTAGTAACTTTTCAGTTGAAACAATGTTGAACTTGTTTATTCCACTCTATTTATAGGAGACATTCAAGTTCTATGTGGAACAATTGAGGAAAAGAAGATTTGAAACATCATGAACAGACAGTCTTTTATGCTTTAGTTGTTTATGAAATTGTTTAAATATTACACTCAATAAAAATTTTAAAAAGCATGTTGCTCTGTGTAATTTTTAATGTAAATCTGTTTAAGCAGCACTTTGCGTAGCTGTAATGGATAGAAACATTCATTAATAGAGATGCTGTTAAAATTGCTAGTGAAATATCAAGATGCAGCATTCTAGGCTATTTCTGTTTTGATGTATGATCTGCTATAACCTGAACTGTGTTGTGGCTCTTGTTGATTCACCAAATACATGTATATCAAGAAAGTTGCTGGAGGGGTATGTAACTAACTTAATCAAACTGTCTTATCCTTTGTTGTTCTTTGCCCAGTCAATGTACTTTGGGGTGAAAGCAGAAGGGTAAAGAATCTGTATCTGCACAGAAAATAAACACATCTTTTTTTAGATTTCTCCTAAATGTATTCTCTTGTGTTAAGTATCTCATTAAGGCATTTGAATATTATAGGTAAAGGCAAAATACTTTTTGCACTAGCTCGTGTGTTGTAGTTTTATATCATCTTTAATTAATTCTCATAACTGTTAGTCCAGTTAATTTTGTGGATACAAGAACTGCATATCCATGAAAATACGCCTTTTAAACAAAGCAATGCCCATTATTTGCAGGGGTAGCAGTTTTTACTTGCTGGGAGGCTGGTGGGCATGTTTTATTTGTGTATTGTGGGAGTAAACCTACTCTGTGATGTTTTACAGTCCAGAGATGTGGAATCATGAAAATAAGTTACTTATAAATTACGAAGATGAAAGAATACATAGAAAATGCATCCATTATCTCTGTGAATAATGATGGAAACTCGGAAATGTGCACATTGGTATAACAAATGGAGTACGGTGCCTACGCAGTACTTCAAACAGGTTTTAATGAAATGAGAGCTTGTTTCTGTGCATTTAATAACTTTGTTTATTAATCTGCACGTTTTCAGTTAGTTAACCTTATCTTTCTTGCGTTTTCCCACATAGGCAAAACTGTGGTAATTAAAAACTCATGTTGCATGCAAAGTTTTGGCGAAATTTTGGAAGACACGTACCACAGTAATCTGAATATGTCAGAGTTAGAAAGAAATTTGGACCTAATTTTTTGAAGTAAAATTTCGCGTTAACTAGTATATTTACAAATACACAGAAAATTTCAGCTTCAGTTAAAATGAGGTATAACTAATCAGGGGCTGAGGAGAGGTAAATTTGTTTCCCAAACAAACTGGATGAATCCTATCTGTGTCTGTCTGCTCCGTTGGTGGTGTGGTTTTACAATGACCTTCATTACTTCACACGCATAGACTTGACAACAGACTGCACCTACGTGGCTCCAACTGTCTGGCACCCTTTGTTCCTGGGTTGTCAAGATAAGGCATTAACATTTGAAATTTCATTCATAGCCTAATGGTTGTGTGCCCTATCTGAAAGCAAGCCTAGTTTATTTCATTTCACAAATGGAGATGTTTCTTTTTTCTACAGCTACAGCTACATTACATGTGTTTCAGTGTAATAGCAGCATAATTGAAGACTGGGTCAACTAGTTGGCGACCCTTTCTCTAGTGCCACAGCTCTTGTTTTTAGAGGTCACCTCGTGAATCTCTGTTTTGCAGCAGTAGCTGTGTTCCAGTAAGTGGAGTCACATCTGAGCGTAACTGGGGACAATGGGCCTGTATGCTTTTCGAGCTAAGCTGGCCCCTGGGATGAGAATATTACTTTAAGCAAACACCAGGTTATCGCAGAGGAAGCTAACAGATCTTAACTACCTTTTTGACAAGGAGGTGGAATCTCAGGTGGTCATGGACCAGGTGCAGTTGGTTGTCAGGTGCTGCATCTGTCATGAGCCTGTTCATTGATACTGGTGGGTTGTGCTTGCTAGCTGCTGCTTTCTGAGGCAGAAAAGCAGCGCACAGCGCTGCAGCCAGAGGCATGGCTGCCTCTTGCCCATCCACGAGGTCTGACTGTGAAGCATTCCTACTAGTTAGCATCTACACATTCTCCTGCTAGCTGGTTTGACTTGAACTCTAACAGAATAATGCCCTATAATTTAATAGTTGCAATTGTGGAAATGGAAAGTAAATTTGATAGCCTGTAACTGAAGAATATGAATTAAATGGGTTTTAGCTTTGAAACTGCCTTTTGAGTGATCTCGTGGGAAGTTAGGGGTTGAATGAGCCAGCAGCTGAGCTGATGTTTAATCAGTGAGGTGCATTCAGGAGCATGAGACCAGGCAGTACCAGGGTTTTGTGGCAGCAATGAGAGGGTAATGGGAAAAGGTGCACACTTGCCATTTGGGATCATGCTGCAATAGCCTGGGCCCATGGAGCCTTGAGGCAGAGATGGGAAGTCAGAGGTTATTCAAAAGATAGATAAAGGCTGCCACTGTGTGACGATACTTCTGATTTTCTGTTCTAGTAAATGTTTCATGTACAAATAAGGAATGCTTACACAGAGGAGAGCAATCTCTCTTGTCTTTAAAATGTGGGACAATGAGGGATTTGTGCCACTCATGGACACAGTCATCTCGTTCTGAAACGAGGTTATACCAGGAAGGTTTTGCAGAGTCGGCATTTGTGCTGACTCCTCTAGAATACGCTTGAAATGATAGTATTGTGCTATGGTGTGCTGAAGCTCAGCCATTTCAAGCATGAACAAAAACGCTGTTCAGAAGGTTAGTGTTTCTTCACCAAATAGGCGGTTTCATTATTTTTTTCTTTATATTTAAAGAAAGAAACCTGGAAGTTGACAAAATGCAGAATGGCAGTCTTGCAAACTTGTCATGGCAATTTATTAATCCAGATACCAAACATACTCTGTCACACTGACCATAGCACACACCCCTTTAAAGCAGAAAATAATTATTTGCCACCGGCTAGCAGATAACTGGGACTGCAAGATCCAAACCAGGTGCAGTGTCCATGAGACAGGAGCACACTTCTCCAGAGGCCTTGTGGGAAGATGAGAGTGTGCTGACATGAAATGACCTGACGTGTTACTGTAAAAAGCAAATTGTGGGAGCGTGTATGTGTTTGCGTAATAGTGTGTCTTGATTGGGGTTGAGAGGACTGGAGAAAGCTTGCTGCTTGAATTCAGATGGCTTAATCTCACGTCTGTGCCCTGTGCCACATTATGGATTCTCCTTCCCCCACTCCCCTTGGGGCAGGGGGAGGAGGATGCTTTTTAGGTTTTGCCCTCAACATGGGAAAAGTTTCCTTGTTAGCTACCAGTGTAGTCATTTTGCAGCATGATAATTACATGCTGTAGTTCTATCCTTATCTACTAAAACAGTTCATTCAGCTCATTGTCTCCTGGGACCCTTTTCTACAGCAAGAAATGTAGCTTGTAGTAGCTGTCTTTAGACTTTCTTAATGTGTACCCACTGTTGAAAATGGAGTACCTGAATGGATCGTGTCTTTGGCAGTGACAGCTCGGAAGGTTTTTATAGATTGAATGCCTGAGTCAGCAGGATTCCAGCTGCAAATTACAGTAACAGGAGGATCATAATAGTGAAGGTAGGATCACAAGTGCACATATTGGCAGAGAAGTAGACTGGAAGCGTGTTCACCAGAGTATTACCATATATATTGCTCTTAACAAAGGTTTGATATTTCTGGATTCCGCAGAAACAAACACAGCAGAGGAGGCAGTGACCAAAGTGGTGGATGTGACGAGGAGGTCTTGTTCAGTGTGGGAATCTGCATCTAGAAGAAATGTCCAATTTCCTGCACCATATACTGTTGCTGTAAAGGTAAAAATAGCGAGTGTGTAAAAACAAGCTGAGACTGTAATTGGATTTAGCCTTCTATAGCAAAGATTTCTCTGCATTTCTTAAAATTTATTCTCAGAATTTCTATACAAAGTCAACTACAAAAAGATACTTCCTTCCCAGAATGGATGCAGTCTCTAGTGGTTTGCCAGTACTTCTGTGAATCAATAATCAGAGGAAACCACAAATCCTTCTAAATTAGTGGCTTCAACTGAGACTGTAATTTAATCAAAGGCCATCTTTCTGTGTATGACTGTGCAGATCCTCAGGTACAGGAGGAAAGTTCTGGGTTTCCCATTAGGTATGGAAATAAGAACAGATGTGGAAGTTCAAGGTTTGAGTTTTCTCTACTGTTTCCTGTAATTAAGAAAGTAAGATAATAGAAACTGTCTTATGCAGTGCCTGCTATAGACGGGGTTTCCACATTGATCTACTTTTAGATAAAACTATTAACGCAAGCTTTCCCTCTGATACTCTTAAAGCTTTATATTACAGTTGGCTAATACTTCACAATTTCTCACGTGATTACTCTTATAACACCGTGATAAAGCAGTGGTATCTATAGAATTGCTATTGTCTGCAGCAATAGCTCCAAACCGCTTTGTAGTTCTGTGTTTCTCATTATTTCACTCAGCTGTAAGTGCTGAGTGAAATATGACTATGAACTCAAGGTTCAGAAAGCAACGCACCTCAGTGTCTCACAGTGAAAGTGATGATTCTTGAAAACCAGCAGCAAATTTAATTCTTGGTTTTGCAAGTAGTTTGCACCTGCTGTTCTTCACATAGTCTGTGAGACCGGGCAGATCTGAAGAGTGGAGTTTTGGGAAGAGTTGTAGATAGAGATGAATCTTCAGAGGAGGCAAGGAGGGTGGACTTTTAGACAGAAGATGGTTTGGGCTGCAGAGAAAGCAGTTGGGTCCAGACAGGACGAGGTTGGCCTGGCCAACCTCCTTGGAGGTTCCCGAAGAAGGCTCTGAAAGGCTGTTTTACTGGGTGCTGGATTTTTATTTGTGGGAGAGGGGCTGTGTAGGGTGGCTGTCAAAATACAGGATTTCCACAGAGGAACTCTCAAGGGATTGGAAGTACTGGGAAAATACTTAGGTGGGAGAGATGAGAGTTGGTGTTGTGGATGGCAGTAAGACAAAGCTAGCAGCTTCAGCGTGATGCCATAGGCCTGCTTGGATTGAGAGTGAATGACCATGAGGGGAAGGAGCAGCCCTCAATTTGCTGGCAGTCAGGCTGGATGACACACCACTGTGGATCTTTGCCTTTCCCATGGCTCCCACTGTCCCTCCTCAGCCACTTCTCCTCGAGGTTCATGGGGGAAGAAAGCAGCTGTGAAGGACTGATCGGAGCTGCTGAGCCAACCCTGGGCTTCTCGTGCCTTTCCGCCATGGGGAGTCATGATTCTAGTCCTGTAATTACAGCTGGAGCAGCATCATGTGCCAAAAATCCCAAAGGAATTTTGTTCTAGCAGCTGCCTCTTAAACCTCACTCTTCTCAAATTCAAAAGCAACTCTAAGTGCACTATTAGTGTAATTTAGGGTGGTTCTAAAGATGAGTCTGAATATGGGACAGTGTTTAACATTGGGGCTGTTACCATTTCTTTGTGTTCTAAGTTGCAGACTGAGGTGAGGTTGTAACTGAA